AAAAAAAATTCAGTTCAATTCAAACAATCCAAACCAAAAGCCTAGCCTTACTAGTTTCCCCTGCCACAAAAACTATATGCTTCTATTAGACCTACCAAATAGGTTGGATTGGGTGGGTTTAGATTGATTTGTCTTGGATCTCAAGTTTTTTGGATTGGGTCATTTCGGGTGTCAGGTTAAAGAGGTAAGTTTGTGATTCATTCACACGGGTCTCAAATTAGATTAGGTGAACTTAACTTTTAAAAAATTAAAATTAAAATTAAAAATTCTCTATATTTTTCTTTATTTTCCTCTAACAAAGTATGATACTAATTAACTATTTAGTTAAAAAACTTTATTAAACGCTAATTTCATTTCATGATTCAATTTTTATTCCAATCTCAAGAAAAAAAAAAGGAGGAAAGATTACTAATTATATAGGTGGAACTAAAATATATGTCAAATATATAATGCCTATACAATATTTAAAATTCATAATTTCATAAAGACACTAACCTTCATGAAAGAAGAAACACTAACCTTCATTAAAGAAAAAGACATGAAGAATTAGAGTTCAAAAGACCAATCCAATATATATGCTAATGTCTACTTTCTATTTAATATTTATAAGGGTATTATACAAAAAATACAGTTTTATTTAATATTTAGAAAGACATTATACAAAAAAGTATAGCCCTGTTCAATAATAAATTCAAAAGGCAAATCCAAAATTGTCTAAACAAATACAAGAAGTAATTGGATCGAGGTTGATTTTTATTAACTTGGAAAAAATTATTAATTAAGAATAAATTAGCAATTTAGAACAAACTAGCAACTAAGAACAAACCTTAGTGTTCTTGATGTTCTTGTCTTTGTGCTTTTAATGGTGATGGAGTTACCTCAACCATTGGATTTGATTTTTAATAGGCATTCTTGCTTTTTATTTTTTTTAAAAAAAATTGACAATGGCATATGATACAACTCATTATGTGCTATCTAATCTGATTTTTAATGCAAGTGCCACCAAAAAGAAGGATTAAAGAGCTTGAGATGAAGAAGGGGAGAACGAGAGTGGAAAAGAGAAAAAGTTGAGAGAAAGTGAAATTGACAAAAGGTTAGAGTTTGAGTATTTTATTTATTTTTACTTTTAAAATTAGGAAATTTGAAATTTGAAATTAATTTTTAAGTATCTAATAAAAAATGAATAAAAAAAAGTTCGAGTCATTTCGGGTGATTCGTGTCACCCATGATTCAACCTATTTGAATTCGGATAATTTCAATCTGAATCATTTTAGATTTCAGATTAATACATAGGATTCGTGACCCAACCCATAATGGGTGGATTGGATGGAATTTTTGGATTGATTCAATTTTGGCAAGTCTAGCTCCTATAGTTCCTTCAATTATTGTGACAACACAAAATTCACCACCACCACCACCACCACTTCTTTAAGATCCTCACATGCACCACCACCACCACCACTTTAAGATCCTCACATGCACCACCACCACCACCACCACCACCCTATACACCACCACCACCACCACCACTTTAAGATCCTCACATGCACCGCCACCACCACCACCAATTCTTTAAGATCCTCACATGCACTATACACCACCACCCTATACACCACCACCACCACCACTTCTTGATCCTCACATGCACTACCCTATACCTCACCATCAATGATCTTAAACTCTTCATGTCTTCATTAGAGAGAGAGAGATTCGCGTTACCAAAATGAACCGCGCGCTCTAATAAATGAGGTTGGTATAATATTCAATGAGTGTAACTTAATTTCCATCCTACTCTTTTTCTATTTCACATTGCAATAATATTCAATGAGGTTGTTTAATTTCCTTGTCAATGGGTTCAAGTTTTCTATATGATCGTGGCTGTCAAGTTAGGTACACGGCGTTGAGGTTTCACAAATATGAGGTAATTGGCAAAGATTAAAAAATATTTATTTAAAAATACTATTTATTTCTCATAAATTTAAAATTTCATTAGAGAAAAATAATAAAATTAATTTTTTAACTGAGTTTTAAGTAAAATTTTAAAAAAGTTATACATCAAAATTTTTCAAAACTTGCATAAAACAAATTTTAAAGGATAATTTTTAAATTAAATTTTTTAATTTTAAAAATAAAAAGTTTAGTGAAAACTTAATAAGTGCAATAAATGTACTTTTTTATAATAGATTCATATAAACATTTATAAAAATTAACAAACATTTTAATATCATTGACATATAGATAATTTTAATTAATTATTTGATTAAACCAAAATTAATATTTACACTTGTAATAGAATTAATTACAAAAAATACATTTATTACACCTTTAACATGTACTCTAAAGGCACAAAATAACAAAATCCTTTAACTCAATATATAAATGAGAATTATTTTTTTATTAAGTGAAATTACTAAACACAAACTATATATATATGGGGGAAATTTTCAATTGACATTTACTCATTATACTAATTTTTCACTTAAACTTTTTGTCTTAAAAATCAATAAAGTCAAAATATGACTATTATTGTTAAATAGAAGAGTATACCATTTTTAGGGGATTTATTTCTTTCTGTTAAGAAACTTTAAAAATGAGGCAGGTTGTAATTTACTCTCTGTTTCAAAATATGTAATT